CTCAGCCTCCCGAGTATCTGGGACTACAGGCATGCACCACCGTGCCCGGCTAATTTTTTTTATATATATTAGTTGGCCAATTAATTTCTTTTCTATTTATAGTAGAGACGGGGGTCTTACTCTTGCTCAGGCTGGTTTCGAACTCCTGACCTGGAGCAATCTGCCCACCTTGGCCTCCCAGAGTGCTAGGATTACAGGCGTGAGCCACTGCGCCCGGCCTAGTTGCTTGGTTTCTAAAGCTCAAAGTACTTGCTTGTACCATACTTGTAAAGATAAGTTACTAGATTAGGACTTTGAGATAGTATCTGTTGGCAAGCATGTATTCTTGGTTGGATGGTTAGGCTTCTTGTATTCTTCTTTAGGCTAACTGTCCCTGCAAGAATCTTTCTTAAATGTAAGCCTAGACATGTAAATACCGTGCTTAAAAGTACTTCTCAGTGTCATGGAGGTATTTACTTTCTTTCTTATAAAATATCCTTTATTGCCTTTTTTTGATCTACCTTTTTAGCTGATTCACCTTATTCAAGACCCACTGTGAAGAACTACTTGAATTTTCCCAAACATGCCATTCATATGGTCTTACTGCACAAATTCTCTTCCTCTAATTGCCTGGCTTTACTTGTCTGTCTTTCAAGATTGAGCTGCAACATTACTTCTGTGAGGCTTTGTTGTTTCACTGTATTTCCACCTGAGTTTGTTGCTCATTCTTTTGAGTTCTTGTTACTTTATAGGAACTTTCATCATTGTAGTAGCTCCTCTTTGATCTGTCATTGGGGTTGATCCATCCAGTTTATAGTAACTTTAATATAATAGCCAGCAATCTTTCAAAAGTGTTAACCTAATCATATAGTCTCTTGTTTTTCAAACTCTTCATTGGTTATCTACTGTTCTTAGGTTAAAGTCTAAATTTATGAGGATATGGATCATGTGTATATTGGTCTCTGTTTAGCCCCACTTGCTTGCATAGTGGTTAGTGGCACTGAGGAGACACCCATGTTGAATGAATGAATATATTGTATCCTCTGCTAGACTATTAGCAGAGGACTATTCTTGAGGTTAAAGATGAAGAGTTGTTTATTTGTGTCTTAAAGCAGTCATTCTTTTTTTTTTTTTTTTTTTTTTAAGACAGAGCCTTGCTCTGTTGCCAGGGCTAGAGTGCTGTGGCATCAGCCTAGCTCACAGCAACCTCAAACTCCTGGCCTTAAGCAATCCTTCTGCCTCAGCCTCCTGAGTAGCTGGGACTACAGGCATGTGCCACCATGCCTGGCTAATTTTTTCTATATATTTTTAGTTGTCCAGCTAATTTCTTTCTATTTTTATTAGAGACGGGGTCTGACTCTTGCTTAGCCTGGTCTTGAATTCCTGACCTGAGTGATCCTCCTGCCTCGGCCTCCCAGAGTGCTAGGATTACAGGTGTGAGCCACCATGCCTGGCCACGCAGTCATTCTTAAGTAATGAACGTTTCATAGAAATTCCTATGATCTGCTCCATCAAGTTGGTTCTCAGTAAGATTGAATAGATTATTATAATAGTCTTTTAAAAAATTGTCTATATTTATAACTCTCTAAGATCCTGAATAGGAATTGGTAAAATTTTTCTTTCCTTTAAAGCAGGCTTATTAGAAAAAAGAATTAGAATTTTTTATATATTCTTCATTACAGTTTCCTACATGACTCAGTGAGTGTACATGAATCATAAAAATGTTTTTAAAAGACTTCAAAGATTTATCTATTTTATTAGAGTTCTGTGAAGGTACTAACTGTATTTTGTAAACGTTTTGGTTCTGATTTGATTTTTTTTTCTTTTTTTTATATATATATTTTTTATTTCGGCATATTATGCTGATTTGATTTTGAAATTGTGAATTATTACAAAGTTAAAACACACATACTTAACTACATTTAAGTACTACATTTCAACCAATTAGAGACCCTTTAAAAAACTGTATTGTCAGGGGTTAATTTTCTTTTGTGCAGAAGTTAAAGCTTTTCTCCATCCTTAAATTATATATGGGATAAGGCAGATGTGGAAAACATATGTTCTTCTTTGCAACTATTTTTTTTGAATCAGGATTCTCAATAATGTGCAATTAAAACAAAAAAAAATAAATTGAATCCTAAGAGCCTAATAAAAGCTTTCAGCTTTTATCATTAGTATCTAGTTTTCAAGTTTTATATTTATCAGAACACTTCATTGTTCTCATTGATTTTGGCCATAAGTAAATATTATACATTTGATTTTATAAAATATATTTATAGTAATAGAGTCATTTTTATTTTCAGTTTTAAAAATTAGGTACCCATTGTTTCATTGATTTTGGTCAGAAGTAGATGGTAAATTTGATCTCATAACATGTGAATAAAACCATTTTTATTTTTGATATCAAAATTGCCTTTTGCTTAAAAAATTCAAAATTCCATTACATTAAGCTTTGAAAAACCTCAGGTCTAACCCATTTTATAAAAGAGGAAACTAAAGCCAGTAGTTGAGAAGTGAGTTGCTCAGGTTTAGTGTAGAATTAGAACCCAGGTGTATTGGCCAGACTAACTTGCTAGTCACAGAAACCCAATACAAACTAACTTAAGGGGGTAGGTACTGTAGGAAGAACTGGAGCCAAGTTCTTAAATTGTATCATCAGGAATGTCTCTTTCCATCCCTTAGTTCTGCTAGCTTCTCTGATGGCTTCATTTTCAGCCCAATTAGTGGCAGAGATGGCCATTGGCAGCTTCTGGCTTTTATATTCCACCAGTTTAGCATCGCTTAGCAGAAACAGACTGCTTGGTGTCCACTCCCCAGCCCCCCAGTCATCTGTAAATAGAGCAAAAATTTTAGAGTGTATGCTGAACAAGCAGAATACACTTGATTTCCTAGTTCTTAGATTAGTGCTTTTTCCATTGTATCAATCTTCCTGAGAGGGAGGCCAGAATGTTAGTTAAGGTTTGGTACTTATGAATTGTTTTTTCTTTTTGTATTACAGTGTTTCCTGGCATTTGAGGAGCTTTTCCAAAACCACCCTCACCACAGTGGGAGAAAACCATTGAGTCAAGGTGGGGTGGGAGTAGATTTTGGTCTTGGGTATGGGGTGGACTTTAACCCCTTAGAATTTTGCTAGCTACTGCCAAGACTCAGACAGGTTCAAGAGCTAGAAGTGGCTCAGACAGCATCATCTTTCCTACATTTTCATGGTATAGCTTTCTGTTCATTGTATTCCCAGAGAGGTGTGAAGACCAACCTCAACTCGAAGTATATTGTTGAATTATGGATGTTTTTATGTGACTATTTATTTGTTATTCAATCCTTCGTTTTCTAGAAGACTTTCTTATAAAAGCCTTTAATATTTGATACCTTTCCATGTACATTGATGGTCTGGTACTCATTTTCCTTTCTTTACTGTTACTAATTTCAAGCAGCCACATTGTTGCTTTCTTTAAAAAGAAACACAGAGTGAAATTATATCTCACATCTATAACTTTGCTGCTTTTTGGGGGAACAAATTTCTCTTTTTCTTCTTCCTTGATTACAACCCTTTCTATGTATGCATTTTGCATCCTCTACTCTGTATGTATGCATTTTGTAGTTTATCTTCATTTAAAGAATCCTTTTATCTCTTCTCATTAGTTCTGTTTTCACTATTTCTTGTTTGTTTTTTTGATCTAGATTTTTTTATAGAAATCTTTTTATGCTGCAGTTCACACATGCTTCTTAATTATCTTAAAGGTAAATATTTTGCTCACATTATGGAAAAAATTCATCGGCTAAATTTAGTTTTAATAAAAAGAATTCTG